TTTCCAGATGTTCACAGACTCTCTGTTTAATGATCTGCTCCAGAATTTCCTAATTGTCTAATGAATGTCAATCAGGTACGTCAGGTGGCTGCATCTTATGCCTCTCTCCTGGCAAGTAACAGGGTACAAAATCATTGAGTCAGTCTTGGTTTGTCATGAGAAATAATGTATTCCTGTTTTCTATGTTTCAGCCACCTTTGTTTAGTGCAGACTTTTTAAACCACATAATAGCCTTTCACCAACAGGTCTCCTCCAGATGTTTTGGAATGCAACTCCCATAATCCTTTAGGAATTGTAGTCAGGACATCTAGAAGACCAGGTTGGAGAAGGCTGCCAGAGAAGTCCTTTAGGGTTTCTTTATTCATGAGAATTAGTAGAGTCATATCTGTGGCATTTGGCTTACCACAGAGGCTGGTTTTTGTGGGTGATTCAAATAAGAGCCCCTTTTGGTTGGGGGCAGGTTCTGCCATGCATGGAGGACTCACGTAGATGAAGATGTTGGGATTATCTGGTCTGTCTCATAATGGTGCCAAATTCTCCAAGCTAGCTTACAGAAGTCTCACCTCCGGAGATGGTTGTCCAACCATTGCTTATGATTGTAAGGCTAGGCATGAGAGAGATGAGCCTTGAGTTGGTGTCTCTCTGTTGGCTAGCCATCATGTTTAATCTTGCTTGAATGGCAGCAGTTTCCTTTTTATTTTAAGTAGAAATCATGAAAATTCATTTCCTCAAGGATGTTGTGTTGTCCATTTTCTTTTGCAGGAGTTACTCTTCCTTAATGAAGGCAGAGAACATGTCCTCCAACCAGGTAGGCCCAGCGAGCCCCCCTCCTGGAAGAGCCTCTTGCCAGAATGAGCAGTGGGTGGTGGGGGTGACATCCCGTGCCCTCCTTTGAAGGTCCAAGGGGTTTATTGAACAGAATCCTAAGTGTCGTGGCACCCTGATTTCCTCCGGCCAGCTCTCTCAGGTTGGTCTGCTGCAGCGGTCCCTGGAAGAGAGCATCCGGGAGTTAGAAGGGATTCCTTTCCCTGAGCACAACTTTGAGACTTCTCAGTCTACCAGCTATGTGAAAATTTCCAAAAAAATAAAATAAAAAAATCTGCATTAATTTGTTTCAATGTGAAATGGAAAGGGGGAAAAGCATGAAGGAATCAGGCAGCTGGTTTGAGGAGATCTGAAATTTGTTGTGGCATGAAATAAATGAGCTAGTTTTTGCCCTTAGTGATAGGCAGATCTCCCTGTATCCACGTATGATATCCAAGGGCCCAGGGATGGGAAGGAGGATGGGTTCAGTTTCTTCTCTTTGGGGAAGCTGCGATGGCAAGGTTGTGGGGAGGAAGCAAAAAGAGAGAAAATAGTGCTCCGGGGCAAGGCTTGGGTATGTGCTTTGGACCTTGTGAAGCAGGTGCTGGGGGGGCAACTATGTAGGGCCAATTTCCCCCCCCCCCAACTACCCTGTGAGCTGCACATCCCTCCCCCAGTTAGTCTAAATCCTTCCTTTTTCTTCTGCAGTCCCTCTCAAAATGGCAACAGAAACTGACATCATGTCATTTCCTCCTGTTACCATTTTGAGAGGAACTTCAAAGCAGAACAAGTATTTTGGGTAGCATAGGTTTCTAAGGTGTTTGTGGTATTTTGGCATGTTTTCACATTTTAAGGACACATTTTATGTGATTTTGAGGTTAAAATTAACCCAAAATCATATAAGTTTTTTAAAAAAGAATTGAGGTAAGTTGGAAGCCTGGGGGGGGGCTAGTGGTATCCCCCAGAGGCCATAAAAGTGTGGTTGAGGGCCCATACTTGTAAATTCAGTCAGTCTGTCCTCCTTAACATAGCCATCTAAATGCTTTTTCTCCCTCCTTCTGTTTCTCCCCCAGGATGGCAATGATTCAGATGACTTCATGTAACCGAAGGTACCTTCCTTCTGGATGACTGAAGTGGACTTTTTGCCGAGGATGCCAGAAA